GTTCACTTCGTAATTCTTTCGTTCATCTTGGTTACTTTTGCGATTACTAACTAAGTTAGTCTCTTAAGCGTAGCTCATTTATATTTCTAAACTTTACTAGNGAGCCATTTTAAAAAAGCTGAATGTTCTAGACCCTCTTAAAATTTTACCTGATTCACTTGAAAATAAACTTGCAGGCTGAACTGTTAGCCTTGTTGAAATCTGCATTGATAAAACTTGATTTGTCCACAGACCTCGAACACATCTCGCTGCCGCCATTTTGTGTCCTAATGAGCCCGCAGTCCTTACAGAATTGTTTTTTTTCTTCTTTGCCATGGAGGGGAAGGGAGAATGCGTGAAGGTAAAAAATTGAAAAATTTTCGTATTTTTCAAACATTTATTGAATACTTACATGTAAGCATATCGAACGAAAATTCTTAAAGGTAATGACAATCAGTTAACCCGACATGAAAGTTATATTACGAACTTAACAATACTTGCACTGTCACTACCCCACAAAGAAAGGAAATCAACGCACATGGTCAAAACAACATGGCGGACGAAACGACTGAATTTCAGCTAAGTTGTGTTTACTGTCAAGCAAAAGATTTCAACACTGGTAGATGTCGAATTGCTCCAAAACATTGGTGGAAAGATCAATTCCCCGGTTCGACTAACAGTTGACTCTGAATTTGCATTTTGTTCCTTGTGGCCAAGAACTAATGGAACGACAATGTTATTCAATATGATTCGCTTGTCACCCTTCCGAACAGCGTAAATACGTGGAAGATGAACCATACTTGTTACAAGAAGTACATATCAGAAAAAAATATAGTTATTGTTGAGCCAGTGAATGCAAAAACCGTTATTGTGTCTTTATTTTTTCGCAAAGGATCTGAAGATTTTGATCTCAACTTGACTGAAGTTGCGCAAGAAATGAAGAGAGAAAGAGTTTCTGTCTATTTATTAAGAGGTTGCATCGTTATGCAGGGATGCTTTATTGAGCCGAAGGAATTTAGAAACAATCAGAGCTCATCTAAAGGAATGGCAAAGATTTTGATACTCTCCACAGAACCCTTGACCCAGTCCCTAAAGGATAACCCAGTGAAAGTCACTGACAAAACAAAAATTATTGTTCAGTCAGTCAGGAGGAAATGTGAACTTGGAAACAAGAACAATGAGATCCTAGCAGGTCTTGATGATACAGTGAGAGAACTTCAAGAAGTGTTAAGCTATCCTTTTCAGTATCCAAAGTGCTTTAGTCATTTAAGACTTGAGTGCCCCAAGGGAATTTTACTGCAAGGAGCCCCAGGGGTTGGGAAGACTCACCTTGTTAAGAGTGTAACTTCACAGTGCAGTGCAAAGTTAATAACACTGGATGGCACACATGTGTTTGGGCCACATCCAGGAGAGAGTGAAGAAAATTTGAGGAAAACTTTTGAGATTGCAAGGTAACAAAGAGTGACTGTTCCATTGCTGGAAATAGTGTTTTCAAATTCATTAATAATTCATTAAGTTTAAACAAAGAAAATCATGACCGTGATGGTGTTTGGATATCTGATCTTAATTAGCATAGATTTAACGATTTTATTTCTCTGTTTTCTCCTTAGTTTTAGTCTCGATTGAGAAGTTATATCAAACACTCAAGACAGTGTTTGACCACATTTCCAAACACCTCGCAGTTCATCAAGAATACTCCATGCGCGTTGTATTTTCAACTCTCTTCTCGGTGTTTGGAAATGTGGTCAAACACGGTCTTTCTTGTTTGATATATTACGTCAGTCACTGGACATTGCATTCATCGATTAAGTTTACAAAAAGTACTTATGTATCTTTCTGATAGAGACGTTTCAGGGAAAACCCCTTCATCAGTCACAAATGTTAAGCAAATGTTATTTGTTCATGTGCATCCAGCTAATGGCATAGTCAATCAACATTGTTCAACCAATTTTGCAAAATTGTGGGACTATTACTTTTCATTATGATGAACATTGGGGCCAGGCACCAAAATGACTTGTCTTTTAGTTGTAAAGATCCTGTTTGTAGACCATTTTTGTTTTGAAAAATAATCACATTCACAGGGATCCATGGTTTGTTTTGCTCTAATAGCCTCCCTAGATTTACATAAAGCATGAACAAACATCTACTTTGACACAATGTAACCTGAAACAGCCCAACTTTTTACTTAGGGGAGGTGGGAGGGGGTAGCAACTCTCCTCATATCTTCATGCCATTATTAGAATCTGTAATTTAACTCTGGTGTTATAAGGCCAAAGTGCCTAGCTATTAAACCATTTACCTTAGTGATAGCTCAAGGGAGGATAATGTGTATTGGTTAGCACAGAGATTAAGAATCATGGTCACAATGCTTTCAAATACTCATTATCCTTTCCTTCAGGAATGCTTCACAGCGTGGTCCATGTGTTTTATTCATTGATGAACTTGATGCTCTGTGTCCAAAGAGAGGAAGTAGTGGAAATGAACAAGAGGATAGAATTGTTGCCCAGCTTCTTACTCTTCTTGATGGTTTGGAATCTCGAGGTCAACTCGTCATCATTGGAGCAACAAACAGACCAAATGCTATTGACCCTGCACTTCGAAGGCTGGGCAGACTTGATAGAGAGGTTAGGGATTTAAAGTGGTGGTTTAAATTGCTAAAAACAAAGGCTAAAGAAAACTTGTATGAACATTGTCAAGTTATGCTTAGCCCTTCAGTAATATTTCAAACCAGAGAGTCCATACCTTACCACATTTCAGTCTAAGCACAGAGTAGAGAGGTGAAATTATGAGGTACAGCACAGGATGTTTTGACAAATTTTAAGGTGTCTGGAAATATAAAACACTGTCTATATTCTTAGGCATTCAAAATTAATACCAAGAAGAACATAGAGAAATGAATCGTCAAAATCTATAGTTATTAGATATCCAAACATCATGTATTTTTGATTTTCTTTGTTTAAGCTTGATGATTTTTCAATGTCTTTGAGAAGTTTTAAAATATCTGACACAATTCAACCTCTTTTCAATCAATATTAATGTGTGAAATCTGCCTAGGTTTTTGGTCTATCCATTGCTATCATTGCTATAATTTTCCTTTTTACATGATATCTACATAATTATAATAAGTTGAATGGTTTGTATGTGTTTTCAGGTTGTGATTGGAGTGCCAAATGCCATGTAGAGATTGTCTATGCTAAAAGCTCACACCCAATCCTTAAAATTGTTAGATGAGGTTGATCTAGCACATGTTGCTGAACTGATGTTAGGTTATGTTGGTGCTGATAAAGCCTCTTTATGCAGGGAAGCAGCATTTGTGGCCTTGAAAAGAATGATAAATCACAGCAACAATGGGAACCCCTACAGTATAAGTGTACAAGAAATTTTGAAAGGCAATGAAGGTAATGTAATTGAATTCTGGATCGGGGAGTGTGGATTCAAGTCTTAGCTGTGGTCATAGAATTGTGTACTTTAGCAAAACACTTTTCTCTTGTAGTACATCTCTTCAGCTAACTGAATTGCTGAGTTAGTGGGCGGGGTGGGGGGTGGGAGTAAACTGTGCTCTTGATTGGTTGAACAGTGATTCCCATAGTATTACTGGTAAGGAAATAATTTGGTAACAGGTCCAGCTAGAAGTGTAGGAATTAACAGAGAGTCGACTGTCTCCACAATGGCCACATTGGGGACAGAGGAAAGTGACCATTGCGACCATTATGGACAGGTAGGCATGTAATATGACTACACCTGTTTTTCTAGGGGCTGCAACAAATAAGCGTTTGTAAATCAAAATGTATCACTACAGCAGACACTAGACAGAAAAAGAGACTAACAACACATAGAGATCAAGTTTCATGACCTTTTACATTAAAAAGTGGGTTTTTGTATTGACAGTTTTACTGGCCGTTGTCAAGAAGGTATTTTGACCTTTTGGGCAAGTTTTAGTGTCTGTTGCAATTGTGGAGTGGTGGTCGTTGTAGCGAGGTTAAAATAAGAGTGAATGCATGGATTGTCAGCTGGGACCAAAAAACGTGGCCCTTATAAAGAGGTGGCCGTTAGTGGAGGTTCGACTGCATTGTTATATTTTAAAATGCAGTGGTAAATGGTTAACTTTGTCATCCAAATCTGTTCCTGATAGATAACGTTGGTGAAATAACCATGGCAGATTTCCAGCTAGCACTGTGCCATATTCTGCCATCTATGTACCGAGGTTTGGAAGGAATGGTTGAATGGAATCCTGTGAGCTGGGAAGATATTGGGGGACTACAAAATGTGAAACAAGCTCTGAAGCAGGTGGGGAAGGATACGTCACTGGCTTGTGCGTTTTGCACACTTTCCAAAAAGCCTGCAACAAGAATTTTTTAATTTCATTACATGGTCAAGCAGAAAAAAAGAAAATTAAACAGCATAGAAATATCGCCTTGACGTACACAAATAGTAATACAATTTATACCACGAAGTGTGCAAGGAGATGTAATAGTTTGAGATCGACACGCAAGGGTTAAAGATAATTTGTAACATCTCTTGATAGTGTACAATTAGCTGGCCTGTGTACATCCGCCCCCTTCCCTCAA